ATACAGCACTAATGAATGTAAGCAAAGTCCTACAGTGCCAGGACAAGGCAGGCTTGTGCCAAAACTCCTAGGAAGCGGCTGTTGCTTTGTTCAAAGGAAGAAGTGATGGGCTGGGGCAGAGAGGCTCTCAGTAGCCTGGGACTGTTATTTCAGATCCAAGGTTATGGTCCTTATTCTTTAGGGACATAATTTCTTACCAAATATTTCTGATTTGTAAGCAGCAAGGCCTCTCTCTGAGTTCCTGGAAATTGTCATAGGGGAGGGGATATTCTGAGCCAGGATGATCCAAAGATCAGCTCCTTTGTGATGACATAGCAGCATATTGGGAGTGCAGTGTAAGGTGCTGGAAAGGATCCACAATACTTTGGATTTCCTTCATTATTCTCCAAAGCCTAATCTAATTTAACACCTCACAAAGCAGGGCTTTGCTGAGGAGGTGTCTCTGTTTTCAAGCAGATTTCATTGCTATTGTGTCTGTGCTGATATTCGATACCTTGATGTTATTGTTCGTATTCTCTAGAAGCCTATAAAAGAGGTCTAGAGCTAAACAAGAGATAGTCCTGTGGCGCTGGATGATTTATAGGTAAAGTGTAAGAAAAGGCCCTGCCACAAACATCCAGAAGGGCAAAATAGCTGGATGAGGGATCGGATAGCTGAGAAAGGCAGAATAATTTCCTCAAGGTCACACAAGTTACAACACAAAGCTGGGAATAGGCTTGATGATTCACAGGGAAGTGCGGTATATTGTCCTGCTGATGCAGAAGTCTCTGATATCCCTGACTAACACACCACATGAAGAAATTATTTCATGCTCTGGAATTCTCTGGCACCAAGTATCAGCCAAAAAAGGTTTAAAACGATGAATGTAACTCAATATATGCTACCAAAGGTTTTCGGTTCCCAATAGGTGCCAAGCACAATTGATTTTTGTTTATAGTTGCTTTCTTTGTTAGGTGATGTCATGGATTATTTATCTCTGAAAGCATTAAATGATACAAAGCTCTTGATGAGTCATTGGGAAAAACAGTGTTCAAGTATAGCCAGTACAAGAAGAAAGGACCATAAATTCCCTAGCCTTAGTGTTTCCAAGACTTGAAAGCAGTTGCATTGCTCTCATACAGTGAATGCAAGGAAAGTAGTTCTCCCACTATTCCCAAGGCATGCAGTCAAGCAGCTAGTACTTCACTGCTTGGTATTCGGTTTCAAAGCCTACCTACCAGTGTCAGACATCAGCACCTGAAGGCGCCTTGGACTGATGCTATTCGACTGTGCCTCAATGGGCCAAGGCTGGAGCAGAGGTGCTGTTCAGTCTGCCGCTGAGCCAGTGAAAGCTATACATTCCCCTAGCTCATAACACTGTTGCAGTGTTTGTCTTACTGAGGTCTGCATCGTCACAGCATGTGTTGGTACTCCCTGGCATAGTTTTGTATTTTATTAGGTTTATGCAATCCTCCTTTGCAGCCTCAAAATAAAGCAAAAACATGCCTCAAGCACACTGATAAAGGGCTTTTGAGTGGAGACAGATGAATCACACACCATTTCACAATTAGCACTTTAATTTTGAACATTAATTAGGGCGCTGGTGTTTGGAGAGTTTAGTTCTCATCGACCCAATTACATTGTTCAGGGAAGGCCTAAAGAGATACTGAAGTTTGCAAATAAATCAATAGGAAAAATGGAAAGTCACTATCAGCTGCAGCCCATGAGCTGAATACTGGCAACCTGGGAAATGCTTCACAAAAAAAGACTAGCTTACTAGAGCATAGGAAGAAGCAATATTTCAGTTACAATACCATGACACTGAAGAAATATAGGCGCACTGAAGAAAGAGAGTGGTTTCATGTGCAAGGCACAGGATAGGCCATGGATGGGAATCCACAGCCTAGCTTTGGTTCACCAAATAGTTCTCCTAGGCACTATTACAGTTATCCTATTGAGCTCTAACATCCTTTGAAAGCAACATTATTCTTGTGCAAGAGGAAAAAATGTTACTTATTTGGAGATCTAAACACAATAACTAAAGCCAAAAATCTTAAGAGGCTTGGATGTGAAATCATTATGAATACACTGTGATGAAATGAGATTTACTGGCTCTTCTTTACATAAGGAAGTGGAATGACATCTGGAAATAAAACCAGATGGAGATCATCACGTCCCAGCCATAATATAAACAGGAGTACTACTAAGCAGTTGCTACAGGTGAAGCAACAAATAAATTTATCCTAACGAATTAGAGACAGTGAAAACACCTGCTGCTTTCCAGAAAGGTAAAAGCCAAGAGGATAATTCCTCCCAAGCCACAAAAAGAAGAAATGAAGTTATGAAGAAGTCAGCTGAAAAATACACCTCCCTCATGGCAACAGCAGCATGACCTTGATCATATTCTGAGGACCAGCTCGTGTACCAGCTAGAAGATAGCAAGAACATGCCTGCAGCAGGAACATCTAAAGCAGGGTTTGGAGAATGGATGGCATGTTAAGTATTGTAGGTTGAATGGAAGTTTTAGGGAGCAAGGAGGACTTTACCAGGTCACACTTGCTACAGCCTTTCTGGCATGTAAATGAGGACTTTCCTTTTCCAAGTGTTGCATCTCAGCACGCAGCAGGCTATATGTCTCACTCCCTCTCCTTTTTCTGTCCCCTGACATAGAAACGGCAAGAACTCAAACCCTGAGAATTTGCATTGGAGACCACTGCTGGAAAACACACAGCAGATCTGAGAGTTGCATGAATGTAATTTATTTTCCTTTATGTAGAAAAAAAAAAAAAAAAATAGGACCCAGTTCAGTAGAGAACTGGGTCCTATTACTCAGGACTCTGCATGGTGTTCAACTTGATTTAAGTGGCAAAAACCTTAATTAAGGCTCTAAACAGGTTTCCTAATAGTGCAGTTCAAACTGCTGGGAAAGAAACATTTGTCTGGACAAAGCAAACAGAATTTGATTAGTTTCCCTGAGGGACTCAGGGATTGAAGCAGGAATGGCACAGAGGAGACACTAAGTCCAGCAGGACACAGCTGGATTATTCCTCTCATACCCTTCATATCTTTTAAAACATCTGTCCAGGCTACAGTGAGTCTTGTAGGCTACAGATGCAAATGATAAACTGCAAGTGAAGTCTGTGGAAGAAAGGAAAATGACAAGCTAGATTCTCCCTGGGATCCTGATCCGCACGAGAGCAAACCCATCAGCTTAAAAGGGCTATTTCAGATTCGTGAAGCTGTAAAAGGACTCAGAAGAAGACCTTAGGACCAAAATTATCCTGAATCACGGTCATTTATGGAGGCAAAGCTTGCAACGTGAGAGCTGCCTGGTTCAAAGCATCTGTTTGGAGAGGCTTTTTGGAAACACGCATTTTAGATGTAACCTTTAAAGCTTTAGCACTGACTATGCACAATAACACATCGCAGAGCATCTGTAGTTCCCTCAGCCATGCAGCAAGCTATATGTGGGAAGCGAGCAGAGGAAAAATACTATCGCCACAGTATTGGGAAGAATAGTATGCAGATAGTGGGAAGCAACCAATTGCTGCGGACTCCAACTGTGTGGAATGGAGACGAAGTGGATGTGAAGAGCAAGTCTTATGAAGAAATTGTGACCTCGAGCCATCATTTGTAGGTTGTCTTTCATTTGCTTTGATTGCAACCGAGGCGGGAGCAGCGCGGGGACACGCGTGGGGGCGTTCCCCTCGCAGCTGACCCCGGGCCCGCTGATTGGGCGAGGCAGCAAGGGGCGGAGCCTGCACCCGGCAGCGCGGGAGATTGAAGCCGGCGGGAAGAGCCGGCCCGGCTGATGGCCGCGGGCGGAGAGGCCGGCGCCTGGCAGGGCCCGAGTAGCCCCACGGACACAGCTCCTCCTCAGGCAGGTGGCCGCCCACGTTTCTGGCTGTGGGGTGTTTGGAGAGGCGGAAGGGATATCAATAGCCGGCTCCAGGACTGGTGCTTCCAAAGCCTTGGGGTTTTAAACCGCGGGAGAGCCTTTGACATACAAGGTATGTTGCAGTCTGATGGATGGGGAAAAGATGCCTTTGGGCGTAAGCTGGCAGGACTGATCGAGAGAGCTTTAAGCTAGGGTCGGCAGGGGAAGGGGATAACACCAGGATTGCAGCAAGTAAGCCAAGGGTTGGCATGGCATCACGTGAGGGTGGCAATGCTAGTGGGAACATTTACGCTGCTCCTGGGAGCACGGAGGGTTCGGGAGTATATTGGGAATGCTTGTACACCAACACGTGTGGTGTGAGAAACAAGCAGGGTGATCTTGAAGTGTTGGTCAGCTTGCACAGCTCTGGTACCACTGGTATTGGAGAGCCTTGGTGGAATGAGTCCCCTGATTGGAGTGCTGGGATGGAAGGCTGTTGAGGAGGGATAGGCGGGGCAAGCGAGGTGGAGGTGTTGTGCTACATGTAAAGGAGTAACGCTGAGCACAAGTGTAAATTGGGAGGGGAGTGGCTGGGGAGCAGCCCTGCAGAAAGGGGTCTGGGAGTGCTGGTGGGCAGCAGGGTCAGTAGCAGTCAGCCATGTGCCCTGGCAGCCGAGAGAGGAAACCCCATCCTGGGGTGCATCAAACAGGGCATAAGCAGTCAGGCAAGAGAGGGCACTGTCCTGCTGTGTCCAGCACATGTGTCCAGCAAATACCCTCACCTGGAGTATTGTGTGCAGTTCTGGACCCCACAATTTTAGAAGGATGCGAAGGTCCTCGGATGTGCCTAGAGGAGGGCAACAAAGCTGGCAACAGGGCTAGAAGGAATGTCCTGTGAGGAGCGGCTGAGGACTTTGTCTGGAAGAAAGGAGGCTGAGGGCCATCCTCACAGCTCTCTGCAGCTTCCTGAGGGGGGGACGTGGAGAGGGAGGTGCTGAGCTCTTCTCCCCGGGATCCAGTGATGGATGAGAATGACACATAGGAACAGTTCAAAATGGTGCAGAGGAAGTTCAGACTGGACATTAGGAAGCATTTCTTTACTGAGAGGGTGCTCAAACATTTAAACAGGCTTCCTAGAGAGGTGATCCCTGTCCCCAGCCTGTCAATGTATAAGAGACATTTGGAAAAGGCCCTCGATAACATGCTTTAACTTTTGTTTTGTCCTGAGGTGGTCAGGCAGTTGGACTAGATGTTTGTTGTAGGTCCCTTCCAACTGAAATACTCTATTCTATGCTTATTTCTTTGGGTAAAGGCACTGTAGACTTTTAAGATGAGATTTTATTGAAACAAGCACTCTTCACATGGCAGTGACAGCTGAGGTAAATGCAGGTTAAATTCATGGTCTCCTATGGTAGAAGCAATGGTAACTACTTTGCCGGTATCCCTTATGTAAGCCAGGGACCTCTTCATAAATGCTCAGCTTCACATCTTTCTCAGCCTTGAAATGAAGATTTTTACTTCTTGGTTGAATCCTTATTCTCTTCCCAAAAGTTTTGTATGATCTTGCTCTGCAAAGGGAAAAATGAGCAAAACAGTGTAACTGATTTACTGTCTCCAGGAACCTAGATACCAATGCAAACAGACCTGTTTATTTTACAAGTGCCTGTACACATAATATTAAAATCAAATATTTGTTTTGGAGTAGGGACTCATAATAGGATAGTTTTTTACTTGATAAATAGCTGGGTTTGTGTGGGGATTCGTATCAGGCTCCATACAAACAAACCTAAAGTAAATATTTGCCCATCTGTGGTGGATTGACCCTGGCTGGACACCAGGTGCCTACCAAAGCTGCTATATTGCTCCCCTCCTCAGCTGAGCAGGGGACAGAAAATATAACAAAAGTCTCATGGGTCGAGATAAGCTCAGAGAGAGATCACTCACCAATTACCATCATGGGCAAAACAGATTCAACTTGGGGAAATTAGTTTAATTTATTACCAATCAAATCAGAGAAAAGTAATGAGAAATAAAACTAAATCTTGAAACACCTTCCTCCCACCCCTCCCTTCTTCTTGGGCTCAACTTCACTCCTGATTTTCTCTACCTCCTCCCCCACAGGGGGCTGGGGGTTGTGGGTTGTGTTCAGTTCACATGTTGTCTCTTCTGCTCCTTCCTGCTCAGGGAGAGGGCTCCTTGCACTCTTTCCCTGCTCCAGTGTGGGCTCCCTCCCATGGGATGCAGTCCTTCAGGAAAAGACTGCTCCAGCATGGGCTTCCCACAGGGTCACAGCCTCCTTCAGGCACATCCACCTGCTCCAGCATGGGCTCCTCCGTGGGCTGCAGGTGGGCAACTGCTCCACTGTGGACCTTCATGGGCTGCAGGGAGTCAGCCTGCCCTCTCACCACGGGCTGCAGGGAATTCTTTGCTCTGGCACCCGGAGCACCTCCTCCCCATCCTCCTTCACTGACCTTGGTGTCTGTGGAGTTGTTTCTCTCGCGTAGTTTCAATCTTCTCTCTAGCTGCAGTTGCATGGGTTTTACCGTTTTACCCCCTCCCCCCCCAAACTGTTTCCAAAATACTTCAGTTCCTCTTTGAGTCAGGACAAAGATGCTTTTGCTTTTCTCCTACTTTTGTTTTTGTTTGTTTGGTTTTTAATTGGAGAGAAGATGTGAGTGCCTCAGAGAAGTTTCACTCTTCCTGACACTGAGTGACTTACACCTTGTTTGGGTTCTTTGTGCAAAAGTTAGCAAAACAGTTCTATAGTTGTCTTAATATACCAACTTACTAAAATGAGTGGACCTTCATGTTAATAAAAAAAATACATGGCTTAAAAGCCACTGGGCCTTTCTTTAAGGATCACTGTATTACTTTTTCTAAATGAAAAAAACAAGTCCCCAGAGGAATCCAAGGTCTGCAAAGAAATGGGCTGGAATTTAAGTACAGGAGGTTGCAAAGTGAATCTGTTGCTGCCCTAAAACTGAATTTTCTCTTCTTTATTCCTAAAGATTACATTCATTAGGCTCTCTCCTCCCAATCTTCATCTATTTTTCTATACACGGATATATAAATACACTTACTATTTTAACTGCCTTTTAAATGCGAATGTTGCCAATTAGCCAATGTTTTACACGATGCCTGGAAAATATAAAATCAAAATATTCATCCAAATCCACATATGGCCAGATCCTTAATTGGTGTCAGTGCTTGCAGCTCTGCTAATTGTTTTGGAGCTGGGCCACTTTATGCCTGCTAAGGATATGGCTCAATAGAATCCAACTGAAAGACTCTCTTTGGCTTCTCCAAGATACAGATCTGGACCACTGTTATTACAAATGCTTTAAAAAACCTGGAGTATGTTAGATGTTGGGACTGCTGCTCTGGTAAACAATCAAATGTTGGAATGTTTTCCTACTACCTCAGAAAATGCAAAGCCTGTTCTTTCTCTTCCTGTTTATATTGGGACCAATAATGCTAATTTTCAAATTTAATTTAACATATGTCTGAAAGTTGCCTGATTGCCCCTGCCAAAAATTGCAGTTGGCAGCTCCAATTTCTGGCATGGCTGAATTCAGAGTGGACTATCTATGCAGACCAAAATATAAAGCAGCACCACTGGTGAGGCCTGGAATACAAGTTGTTCCCAGACACATGCCCAAATCTTTGATATTTAATCATAGCATAGGTCAGGAAAGTGTGAAAGGAGCAAATTCTGCTACATATTTACTAAGAAATGAGAAATCTCCCTCAAGTATGTGACATTACAGGGCTGAATAAAAATAGGAGTTTAGCAGAAGATTAAATCTGAAAAGGCTAAGATTTAAATTAATCAAACTTTAAAACACCTGGCCAATTCAGATGCTGCATATTTTTCCTTAAAAAGAATATTCTCAAGGCAGCGTAATTTGGATAGAGCTTGTTACTGGACCATGAAGTGGAAGTATTCCTGCCTGGCTTCAAACATAAGTTTTGCAGTTGTAGGAATAAATGAAGTTGAACGCTAGCTGAATTCACCAAAGGGCATTTTAAAACCAAGAGAGGAGGGAAAATGAAACCTAAAGCAACAAACAAAAGGACAAATAATAATACTAATGTCAGTGAAGCACGGACAGCCACTTAATGATAGGTGCTCCCTTGCAAAAAAATATTTAAAATAAGAATGTAGGTAATCTACCCCTAGAAATTTCTCCATACGGGCATCAATGTTCGCATACTGGGGAGGAGGAGGAGGAGCACCACATGGAACCAGGTCTCTCATAAGTTAAGGAAGCCCTCTTAGAGAGCCCTTCTTCAAAGGGTCAGATTTCGATGCAGATGTGAGCAGCTGGCTGTGGAACAGCCCCAGAGGTCACTTGGCTTTGATACGGAGTGGCAAAAGAAATGCAGATGAGTTCGGTAAACAAGAAGCTGTCACATCTAAGGGCTTTTGTGAATTAGTCTATGACTCAGTTGCTGCTGTGAAATAAATAAATAAAGCCTGCTCAGTAGCATTTCTTGATTTTTGCTTTTTCCATCTGTAGTTTCTGGAAATATCTTTGCACGAGAAGAGCTGTACAGTCTGTCCTTGACAATTTTGTCTCTCAGTTGTACTTGCCTATAGCCACTAAAGTCGAGGGGAATTAAGAGCCCTAGATGTCATGGTGAACCTTGCTCTCTCTTAGGAAGTACCTCCGCAACCCTTGAATATGTGGGGTTTTACAAATTCTTAAATGGGTGTGCCCTAACATCACCCCTGTAAATAGGGCAGGTTTAGTAGTAGAACTGGTGATAACAAGGTATCTTTGGGAAAAGGGGAGGAGCCTGCAATGATTTATATGAAATGTACTGTGGTGTCAAGGATCATGGCTGGGTTCTTGTTCAACTGTCCCAGAACAAACCTGGACAATAGCATGTCTACCTTCTCATTCCCGTGCCACGGTTGGAGTACGGTGTGCTTGATTTTTCTTGCTAAGGTTCCAGTTTCAGTCAGGAGGAGCCTTTATGAGCTTGTCATCAAACCAAGGAAATTAAAGTACATTTGGAAGTCAAAAATGATTCACTCACTTTCTGTAGAGTTAATTATGAGCTATATCAACTTCTTTATCTTTGGTTAGAGTCGTAATCTGGAATCAGCTTAGAGAAAGGCAGAGTTGCATGGGGGAAAAAAAGGTCATATTTGCAGCAGGGGTAAATCAGTACAGCTCTCAAGTCGGGGAACCCGTGTTAATTCAAGCCTGCTGAGAATCAAGGCATAACTTCTTTCAATGCATGAATGCACTATTTGTAATCAGCAAATAAAACCCCATTTAAATAAGAGCCTAATTCCTATGAAGAATGAATGTATGAGGCATTGAAAACTTGTTTTTTGTTAAGTTCCAATCTCCATTATTTGGAAAGCACAAAAATTAGGTTGCACACAATGTATCGCTTATTAAAACAAATCTTACTGACAATGCAGTTTGGTCTCAGGGACAATAATGTTGGAACAAGAGGTAGTGGCAGCCTTGAGAGGAAGAAAATGTATGAAGAAAAGAAAGAAAGTGGACAACCACCCCTTTCTCAAGACTGGGGCTGCTTCATCTCTCTTGTGGATGGTATACAGGGCATAGCAAACTATCACCACAGGCAGCTGTGCTTCCTCTTTTTGCCCAGAATGGCATAACCTGGGCATTTGCAGAGTTAAAAGCTTTAGGGTTGAAAGTTTGATGAAAGCTTATGCTGTGCTATAGGGTTATGACCCAGGTAGGGCAGATACTGGTGTTATATTTATTATAAAGGACTCTTTACAACTATTTGAGTGGCCATAGACACAAGAGATGCAATGCTTGCTTGTTGTTTTGTAATTGGAAGGGTGTCACATCAGGAGCCACCAGAAGCAGGTCTTGGCTCAGATGGAAAGGAGATGGGAGACAAGTCACTTTTAAAAAACTGAAGAGGAAAAATGGCTATAAACCCCCTGATGCTCACTTTTAATGCTGCTGTTTTGGAGCAGAGTTTGAAGAATGGACCCCCTGTATTGTACTGCAAATACGCATATGTGTTTTGTGATTAAGGCTCTCTCTATCTCTGCATATACATATTTATTATTATTTATTATTTATATGCCACCAGGAAGGTACATGGCACTTCAGAGACATATAAAACAAGCTGTTACCACCTGTGAATTGCTTCCAATCAAAGTGCATTGTAAGGCTCTTTAAACAACTAATTTGGAATTCTAGCTTGTTAATGCCACTTTTTAATGACAGACAGGCTGATCCAATAGAAATCATTTGATTTTCCATTGAAATTCTGTGATGGTCACAACAGACTGGCAGTGAGCAGGTTTCAAGATGAAGTATTCCACTGGAATCTTCATTATAGGAAAACTCTTTCTCTTCCTCTGTCCTTTTTTCTACTTTATGAGATGATTTATTTATATTACCAAAGACCTTGAAAGCTGGAAACAGAGATGGATTCCTGTTGTGCAATGTACCAAACATGCACAGTGTAAAGATGGCTGCAGTACCAAGCAGTAGGGAATTTATAATGCATTTCTGTTTCTGCTGTACTGAGTCACCAAGATGACCCTGTCTGTCTAGTTCCAACT